CTGATGTGTTGTTGGTTGTGTTTGTTTTATTAATGTTGACGATGATGAAGAACAACCCAGCTCTCTGAAATGGTCAGTGTTGAGCATTGTTCTACTGATGAGTGTAGTGTAATGTGAACGGGACAGTTGTTTATTGATCGTATGATCGTATTTTGCTTTGCATTGTCTTGTCTTGCATTACATTATTGATTTGAATTAGTGAGTTGTGTGTGTGTGTGTATGTGTGTGTATTTCAAAGTGATTTTTGTTCTCTTATTTTCCTGCAGTGAATCGAGGTGTGATATTATTCAATCAATGCTGTGGTCAGTGAGTGTAATTTACGGATCCATAGTGGATTGTACACGTGTTGTTGTTCTGGTGAATATGTACTGACGGATGGTGTTATGGCGTTGTGTCGGTGATGAGTGTGGATAAGGTAGGTGTATATGAGTTTAGGTGGTGATGTTTATTGAATTTGGTGTTGACTGAGGGTGGTTGTCTGGATGATATGCTTATTGAGTAGTAGTAGTGGGTAATGTTGATGTTGTGAGTATTGACTGTTAGTGGTATTAGTGAGAGCATCACGCGAGTGTTGTTGGTTTCGTTGTGACCCAGTGTGTTTGTGTTTGTGTGTGAGTGTTGATTAGGGATTGGTTGTGCATTGGACGAGGTGTGTAGGCTGATGTGACTGCGATGTGTTGTTGGTTGTGTTTGTTTTATTAATGTTGACGATGATGAAGAACAACCCAGCTCTCTGAAATGGTCAGTGTTGAGCATTGTTCTACTGATGAGTGTAGTGTAATGTGAACGGGACAGTTGTTTATTGATCGTATGATCGTATTTTGCTTTGCATTGTCTTGTCTTGCATTACATTATTGATTTGAATTAGTGAGTTGTGTGTGTGTGTGTATGTGTGTGTATTTCAAAGTGATTTTTGTTCTCTTATTTTCCTGCAGTGAATCGAGGTGTGATATTATTCAATCAATGCTGTGGTCAGTGAGTGTAATTTACGGATCCATAGTGGATTGTACACGTGTTGTTGTTCTGGTGAATATGTACTGACGGATGGTGTTATGGCGTTGTGTCGGTGATGAGTGTGGATAAGGTAGGTGTATATGAGTTTAGGTGGTGATGTTTATTGAATTTGGTGTTGACTGAGGGTGGTTGTCTGGATGATATGCTTATTGAGTAGTAGTAGTGGGTAATGTTGATGTTGTGAGTATTGACTGTTAGTGGTATTAGTGAGAGCATCACGCGAGTGTTGTTGGTTTCGTTGTGACCCAGTGTGTTTGTGTTTGTGTGTGAGTGTTGATTAGGGATTGGTTGTGCATTGGACGAGGTGTGTAGGCTGATGTGACTGCGATGTGTTGTTGGTTGTGTTTGTTTTATTAATGTTGACGATGATGAAGAACAACCCAGCTCTCTGAAATGGTCAGTGTTGAGCATTGTTCTACTGATGAGTGTAGTGTAATGTGAACGGGACAGTTGTTTATTGATCGTATGATCGTATTTTGCTTTGCATTGTCTTGTCTTGCATTACATTATTGATTTGAATTAGTGAGTTGTGTGTGTGTGTGTATGTGTGTGTATTTCAAAGTGATTTTTGTTCTCTTATTTTCCTGCAGTGAATCGAGGTGTGATATTATTCAATCAATGCTGTGGTCAGTGAGTGTAATTTACGGATCCATAGTGGATTGTACACGTGTTGTTGTTCTGGTGAATATGTACTGACGGATGGTGTTATGGCGTTGTGTCGGTGATGAGTGTGGATAAGGTAGGTGTATATGAGTTTAGGTGGTGATGTTTATTGAATTTGGTGTTGACTGAGGGTGGTTGTCTGGATGATATGCTTATTGAGTAGTAGTAGTGGGTAATGTTGATGTTGTGAGTATTGACTGTTAGTGGTATTAGTGAGAGCATCACGCGAGTGTTGTTGGTTTCGTTGTGACCCAGTGTGTTTGTGTTTGTGTGTGAGTGTTGATTAGGGATTGGTTGTGCATTGGACGAGGTGTGTAGGCTGATGTGACTGCGATGTGTTGTTGGTTGTGTTTGTTTTATTAATGTTGACGATGATGAAGAACAACCCAGCTCTCTGAAATGGTCAGTGTTGAGCATTGTTCTACTGATGAGTGTAGTGTAATGTGAACGGGACAGTTGTTTATTGATCGTATGATCGTATTTTGCTTTGCATTGTCTTGTCTTGCATTACATTATTGATTTGAATTAGTGAGTTGTGTGTGTGTGTGTATGTGTGTGTATTTCAAAGTGATTTTTGTTCTCTTATTTTCCTGCAGTGAATCGAGGTGTGATATTATTCAATCAATGCTGTGGTCAGTGAGTGTAATTTACGGATCCATAGTGGATTGTACACGTGTTGTTGTTCTGGTGAATATGTACTGACGGATGGTGTTATGGCGTTGTGTCGGTGATGAGTGTGGATAAGGTAGGTGTATATGAGTTTAGGTGGTGATGTTTATTGAATTTGGTGTTGACTGAGGGTGGTTGTCTGGATGATATGCTTATTGAGTAGTAGTAGTGGGTAATGTTGATGTTGTGAGTATTGACTGTTAGTGGTATTAGTGAGAGCATCACGCGAGTGTTGTTGGTTTCGTTGTGACCCAGTGTGTTTGTGTTTGTGTGTGAGTGTTGATTAGGGATTGGTTGTGCATTGGACGAGGTGTGTAGGCTGATGTGACTGCGATGTGTTGTTGGTTGTGTTTGTTTTATTAATGTTGACGATGATGAAGAACAACCCAGCTCTCTGAAATGGTCAGTGTTGAGCATTGTTCTACTGATGAGTGTAGTGTAATGTGAACGGGACAGTTGTTTATTGATCGTATGATCGTATTTTGCTTTGCATTGTCTTGTCTTGCATTACATTATTGATTTGAATTAGTGAGTTGTGTGTGTGTGTGTATGTGTGTGTATTTCAAAGTGATTTTTGTTCTCTTATTTTCCTGCAGTGAATCGAGGTGTGATATTATTCAATCAATGCTGTGGTCAGTGAGTGTAATTTACGGATCCATAGTGGATTGTACACGTGTTGTTGTTCTGGTGAATATGTACTGACGGATGGTGTTATGGCGTTGTGTCGGTGATGAGTGTGGATAAGGTAGGTGTATATGAGTTTAGGTGGTGATGTTTATTGAATTTGGTGTTGACTGAGGGTGGTTGTCTGGATGATATGCTTATTGAGTAGTAGTAGTGGGTAATGTTGATGTTGTGAGTATTGACTGTTAGTGGTATTAGTGAGAGCATCACGCGAGTGTTGTTGGTTTCGTTGTGACCCAGTGTGTTTGTGTTTGTGTGTGAGTGTTGATTAGGGATTGGTTGTGCATTGGACGAGGTGTGTAGGCTGATGTGACTGCGATGTGTTGTTGGTTGTGTTTGTTTTATTAATGTTGACGATGATGAAGAACAACCCAGCTCTCTGAAATGGTCAGTGTTGAGCATTGTTCTACTGATGAGTGTAGTGTAATGTGAACGGGACAGTTGTTTATTGATCGTATGATCGTATTTTGCTTTGCATTGTCTTGTCTTGCATTACATTATTGATTTGAATTAGTGAGTTGTGTGTGTGTGTGTATGTGTGTGTATTTCAAAGTGATTTTTGTTCTCTTATTTTCCTGCAGTGAATCGAGGTGTGATATTATTCAATCAATGCTGTGGTCAGTGAGTGTAATTTACGGATCCATAGTGGATTGTACACGTGTTGTTGTTCTGGTGAATATGTACTGACGGATGGTGTTATGGCGTTGTGTCGGTGATGAGTGTGGATAAGGTAGGTGTATATGAGTTTAGGTGGTGATGTTTATTGAATTTGGTGTTGACTGAGGGTGGTTGTCTGGATGATATGCTTATTGAGTAGTAGTAGTGGGTAATGTTGATGTTGTGAGTATTGACTGTTAGTGGTATTAGTGAGAGCATCACGCGAGTGTTGTTGGTTTCGTTGTGACCCAGTGTGTTTGTGTTTGTGTGTGAGTGTTGATTAGGGATTGGTTGTGCATTGGACGAGGTGTGTAGGCTGATGTGACTGCGATGTGTTGTTGGTTGTGTTTGTTTTATTAATGTTGACGATGATGAAGAACAACCCAGCTCTCTGAAATGGTCAGTGTTGATCATTGTTCTACTGATGAGTGTAGTGTAATGTGAACGGGACAGTTGTTTATTGATCGTATGATCGTATTTTGCATTGTCTTGTCTTGCATTACATGATTGATTTGAATTAGTGAGTTGTGTGTGTGTGTATGTGTGTGTTTTTCAAAGTGATTTTTGTTCTCTTATTTTCCTGCAGTGAATCGAGGTGTGATATTATTCAATGAATGCTATGGTCAGTGAGTGTAATTTCCGGATCCATAGTGGATTGTACACGTGTTGTTGTTCTGGTGAATATGTACTAACGGATGGTGTTATGGCGTTGTGTCGGTGATGAGTGTGGATAAGGTAGGTGTATATGAGTTTAGGTGGTGGTGTTTATTGAATTTGGTGTTGACTGAGGGTGGTTGTCTGGATGATATGCGTTATTGAGTAGTAGTAGTGGGTAATGTTGATGTTGTGAGTATTGACTGTTAGTGGTATTAGTGAGAGCATCACGCGAGTGTTGTTGGTTTCGTTGTGACCCAGTGTGTTTGTGTTTGTGTGTGAGTGTTGATTAGGGATGGGTTGTGCATTGGACGAGGTGTGTAGGCTGATGTGACAGCGATGTGTTTTTGGTTGTGTTTGTTTTATTAATGTTGACGATGATGAAGAACAACCCAGCTCTCTGAAATGGTCAGTGTTGAGCATTGTTCTACTGATGAGTGTAGTGTAATGTGAACGGGAGAGTTGTTTATTGATCGTATGATGGTATTTTGCATTGCATTGTCTTGTCTTGCATTACATTATTGATTTGAACTTGTGAGTTGTGTGTGTGTGTATGTGTGTGTATGTGTGTGTTTTTCAAAGTGATTTTTGTTCTCTTATTTTCGTGCAGTGAATCGAGGTGTGATATTATTCAATGAATGCTATGGTCAGTGAGTGTAATTTCCGGATCCATATTCGATTGTACACGTGTTGTTGTTCTGGTGAATATGTACTAACGGATGGTGTTATGGCGTTGTGTGTCGGTGATGAGTGTGGATAAGGTAGGTGTATATGAGTTTAGGTGGTGATGTTTATTGAATTTGGTGTTGACTGACGGTGGTTGTCTGGATGATATGCTTATTGAGTAGTAGTGGGTAATGTTGATGTTGTGAGTATTGACTGTTAGTGGTATTAGTGAGAGCATCACGCGAGTGTTGTTGGTTTCGTTGTGACCCAGTGTGTTTGTGTTTGTGTGTGAGTGTTGATTAGGGATTGGTTGTGCATTGGACGAGGTGTGTAGGCTGATGTGACTGCGATGTGTTGTTGGTTGTGTTTGTTTTATTAATGTTGACGATGATGAAGAACAACCCAGCTCTCTGAAATGGTCAGTGTTGAGCATTGTTCTACTGATGAGTGTAGTGTAATGTGAACGGGACAGTTGTTTATTGATCGTATGATCGTATTTTGCTTTGCATTGTCTTGTCTTGCATTACATTATTGATTTGAATTAGTGAGTTGTGTGTGTGTGTGTATGTGTGTGTATTTCAAAGTGATTTTTGTTCTCTTATTTTCCTGCAGTGAATCGAGGTGTGATATTATTCAATCAATGCTGTGGTCAGTGAGTGTAATTTACGGATCCATAGTGGATTGTACACGTGTTGTTGTTCTGGTGAATATGTACTGACGGATGGTGTTATGGCGTTGTGTCGGTGATGAGTGTGGATAAGGTAGGTGTATATGAGTTTAGGTGGTGATGTTTATTGAATTTGGTGTTGACTGAGGGTGGTTGTCTGGATGATATGCTTATTGAGTAGTAGTAGTGGGTAATGTTGATGTTGTGAGTATTGACTGTTAGTGGTATTAGTGAGAGCATCACGCGAGTGTTGTTGGTTTCGTTGTGACCCAGTGTGTTTGTGTTTGTGTGTGAGTGTTGATTAGGGATGGGTTGTGCATTGGACGAGGTGTGTAGGCTGATGTGACAGCGATGTGTTTTTGGTTGTGTTTGTTTTATTAATGTTGACGATGATGAAGAACAACCCAGCTCTCTGAAATGGTCAGTGTTGAGCATTGTTCTACTGATGAGTGTAGTGTAATGTGAACGGGACAGTTGTTTATTGATCGTATGATCGTATTTTGCTTTGCATTGTCTTGTCTTGCATTACATTATTGATTTGAATTAGTGAGTTGTGTGTGTGTGTGTATGTGTGTATTTCAAAGTGATTTTTGTTCTCTTATTTTCCTGCAGTGAATCGAGGTGTGATATTATTCAATCAATGCTGTGGTCAGTGAGTGTAATTTACGGATCCATAGTGGATTGTACACGTGTTGTTGTTCTGGTGAATATGTACTAACGGATGGTGTTATGGCGTTGTGTCGGTGATGAGTGTGGATAAGGTAGGTGTATATGAGTTTAGGTGGTGATGTTTATTGAATTTGGTGTTGACTGAGGGTGGTTGTCTGGATGATATGCTTATTGAGTAGTAGTAGTGGGTAATGTTGATGTTGTGAGTATTGACTATTAGTGGTATTAGTGACAGTATCGCGGGCGTTTATATTTTTGGTGTTTTTCGTGGTGGGTGTTTTATGTTCTTGAATGCTTTTTTTTCATATTTTTGAAGTATAGGATGTTTCTCTTTTGTAATTTTTTTGTGCCTCCCTCTTTACATATATGTTTTCTCTTTGAACCGCGTTTTTGGTTTCCCGTTGACTAACGTGCGCGAGCTTTTACCATACAACTCTCCAGTTTTCGAATGTTCTCTAAATGGTGTCAGCTGATGTTGAAATGTTTGAACCAAATACAGCTTGTCTTATACTAGTTTATGTGTTTTTCTTTTCTTTTTGGAGATTCATAAGATATAGCGCTTATAATCTGGTTGGATTCTATTTTAGTATTAAGTGGAATTGTTTATGATATTAAGTGCTTTCTTGTTGCTCGTAGTTAATTACTGACATCTACTTTGGCGTACCCATATATGGTCAACCAACACAGGATTGTGTGGAACGTATTAGTTTCAGCTTATTGGTGTATAAGGAGTTAATCAGTTTGACTTCTATGTAGTTAAACTATTGTTTTGAACCTGACGCATTGTGTGCTTAGATTGTCGCGTTACGTGCTGAAATTGTACAGAAAAGGTATTAGGTATGTCTTACGTGATACAGAATTCTCTCGATGATGAAAACTGCATCAATTAGAAAACGCAATAAGGGCTATGACGTAATGATTTCAACCGGTTAAAACGTTAGCTTCTTGCAAACTGAGTACTAGATGGAAGTAGTGAAGCTTTCAGTAGCTCTATTGGTCACTCCGTCAAAGTGGAAAACCGATACAAACAAATCTTCACACTAGACTAGGAGCTACTACGTAGCAGATATGAGAGCTCAGGGTTATGTTACATCGTTCAAATTAGGAGTTAGAAACTAAGTTAAGTGATAAAAGAGGGCTTTAGCCAATTGCCAGATGCTACATGTACTGAGAAGCAGAATTTTGTTGATCATGCTCAGCGCTTCATTTCTACTAAGTGATTAAAGATGTTTTCCTAAAAGAGGACACGTTTCAAATTGACTTTTAGGACAGATCGAATGCCCTCCACAATAGGCGGTTTCCAGAGTCACCTCTTCAGAGGCATGTTACTTCCTGTCACACTGGTTCGTATCACCACCCATAGGTTGTACTATTTGGAATGAGATGTATGAAAACAGTTTCATTCTGTTTTGTTAGTTTTTATAAAATATAACATTTAGTATTATCATATAAGCAGTACTTTATTGTTCAAAATTGTTGAAGTCTTACAATACGGTATGGTCTTTTGGGTGGCATTCAAGGAAAGATTTAAGTGTATTCACAAGATGAGAATTAATGTTTTAATTATTAAGGTTATTTGTTTGAGCATCGGTTTTACTTCTTTCTCCAGTGATGCAAAAAACAGTAGGCATAGTTGCATGGTTTTTTGTATTGGATGGTATAATTTTATTCAGTCTATTTATGTTAATTCATTGTTTTAAGCGTAATACATTGGATTATATTTCATTCAGCATATTCCAACTTCAATAACATTTCAAAAGCTTTTTGTAAATTACACTTCCTCTTTTGAAAAGACTTATTTCTGATATTGCAGCGATCAATAGTTGACAGTAAATGACATTACAATTCACGTTAAATTTAAAGTATTGATTTTTATCCAGACATTTTCTTGGGCATCATACACTTTTGTGTTAAATTTTCTGCCTCAGTATTCTCTTCGTTTGCTTTAGCTTTAGAATGTTTGGAATTTTTTAATGGTAATTCTTTTAACCATCGGTAGTTTCTGGATGTTTCTTTTCTGTTATCTGTTTGTTTTGATGAGCGACTTCTATCATAGTGGGAAGAATTAAAGTTGTCTGAATTGCATAAATTGCGGTCTGAATCTTGGCGATCTTGTAGTATCCATCTTTTCAGTGATCCATCTGGTAGTTTAGCAATGTCTTCGTTAGTGAAGAATATTCTTGAGTTATACTATAAGTCAAAAATCATTGAAACTAGATTTCAAAACAGCAATAATAATAGTAAAATGCAAAAAAAGGTATGTAACAAAACGCGTGTGACCTATTTTTCACCTACATGTCGACTGCATATTCTATCTTCAAAATGAATATTTGGAATCTTCTACGTAGACCGTAGTACTGAAAATGCGTACTAAGGTAATAATTGTCATTTTTTGCTTCGTACTTACTGTTGATACTTACGCCTTGCTGAGATATTTAGTTTGTTACACATAAACCTTGGTATTTCTTCTGAAGAGCGGAATCAAGGCTTTTAATGCACATACATTTTAAAGTGGATCAGTAATTATCAGATTTCTCAACTTACTGGATGGGTTCGTTTTTTATTTCATCGAAGTATCAGATATATACAGCCTTTTGCATCAACATCTAAACCTGTGACGGTTATTCTAGAAGTCAATATTTTCATGTTATACCCTCTTGGTTATACAGTGTTAGTCATCACCTTTGATTATTTGGCTTACCGAAGAAAATTGGAAATTATTCCTGGAGGGATACATAATTTGTGTAAATTTATGGAGTAGAGTTTAATAATAACAGGTCGTGAGTGTAAATAGCTACCAACCTAAAGGTTATCTACACAAGTAATGGCACCGATACCCAAATAATACATGTTTCTCGAAAACTGGCCAGTTACTTCATTAAACAGGACGATATTTGGCTTTAATGTGAATGAGATATCTATGATACTCTCTGCATCAGTAATTTGTAGAGTTAAAGCCTTGTAAATCTTAGATAAATGGTTCTACAACCAGATATGCATCCATCTTTGTCCTTCTGCTTCACTTGATTGTTTGGTGTAATTAAGATTATTGTAAAATATATAGTTTCTAAAATCATTTCTAACTGTCTCTATATGTAGATAACAATTTCACGCTGAGGTATGAAAACGTGAAAATCCCTTTATACTTCCTGTGTATTCTCATTAAAAGAAAGCAAATGGATCACAGCCAACTTTGAACTATAGGAGGTTTTTTTCACTGTGGTACAAATGTGACCGAATTTGAAATCTTCTTACTCATGTAGAAGGTTTATAGCCATACAGACTAAAGAATAAATGAGAGCATTTTATAAATTAATCTCCGTTCAATAAGGGGTTTCATGGACTACTGACCGACCTGGTAACGTAGAACTTTGCATGCAATAACATCACATCAAGCAGACACGTACACCAAACGACAAAAAGAATCATATCACCTAATGTACGGTTAGTCACTAGTAACCAAACAGTCCTACTGGAGGTCAACTGTGACCCCAAATAGTTCAATGGTAACGTCTATGACTGCACTACTGTGTGTTGCGGGTCCGAATGCCAGAAGGCGCATGAGTTCCTTCAAGGTTTCAGATGCACCTTTCTGATGAGTACCAACAAACATGAAACCTAGATCCAGGAGTTCCTACCGACTGCCTTTAACCATCTAACATCGATTCACAGTGCACTGCAATGGCGACCACACTGCAAACTTCACCAAACCAAGAACTAGACACATGACATTGGTTAATCTACCTAGTGATCAATCAAAGAATGATACCACGGTAGACGAACATGAGATCAACGAAGTGAATGATAAGAGTGACGGTAATAAACGGATAGATATATGAAAAAAAGTGTCTTATTTCGATATTTCGTTATCTTCACGCTCTGCAAACTGTAGTTAATCACCACATTAAGACATTATTACTCTCTGCTCTAGATGTATTGTTAAAATCAGTTAAAGATATTGGAAAATTTCAAGTAAATGCATGATTATATGTCTAGTTAAGGATACAACTATGTATAAACTCTTCATATATATATATATATATATATATATATATATATATTCAAAAGTTGAACACTTAGATGCATCTTTGTATTACTCTGTTTATTATGTATGCCACTCAGTAAAACAGTATTGTTTACTGGATAACATTTCGAACACAATTTATTGTTTATAATCATATCGAACAGAACTCTACAATTTTGCAACTTGGTTTTTACAGTCATAGATTCTCCCTATCACTTATTGTAAGGGTAGTAGGATTCTTCAGATAACCAAGACAGATGCTGAATCATTCCTAATGCAGTTTTGCTTAACTGATTTGATAAACAAATCTGTTTTTGACTTCTTCACTCTGTCAAATTAGATTTTAGGACTATCACCTTGTTCTGTTCTATTCTATTCTCTTTAGTTGTATGTGACAGCATCCTATACTACAGCTGAACTTTTTCTAGATATCTTATGTTGGTAGAGTATTCTGGTCTGGATTTTGATAAGTTTTCGCATTCTGTTAACCGTTACCCACTACTATTGTGGTGAGAGCTGTCTGCTAGCCAAAATTGGTAGACAGCAATTTACGTCAATGTTTACGTCCCAAATCTTGGTCATCAGAAAAAAACGAGAACAAAGCCTAACCTTGAGGAACTCAACAACCAATCACAGCATACTTAGCGTGGGCGGATACGATTCTCAGATATATCAGCGGACTGTCTAAGAAACGACAACAAAGAGATGACAGAATAACCTTCAGCAGGAAAACAACCAATCAGAAGACGTTGTTTCTCTGCTAACAATAACGAATAATAATGTACATAAATATCTGTTGATTTTATCAATAAACGATCTGTTGCCTGGCCCTTGTCTTCTGTTGCTACACTATTACATACGTATTCAATTCTACATTTATTCTGTGATATTAGGTAATGGAAATAATTTAGTCAACATAGTCATGATGTTTCATTTGATATAACTTATTAACAATAGATTGCGCTCGAAACTTTATCTTTTCATATAGTTACAAAAATGCTAAGTAAATTTCAGTTTCAAGTTTTAAGTACTGTTCAGTTTCAGTAGTGTTATCCCGACTGTAGTAATATGAAAATATAGTAAAACCAATTAACATACACAATTAAAGAATATACATTAGACATATATAATTAAGAGTTGTTAATTATAACAACCTATGCAAGTTCATAAATATTTCCAAGTATATGCTGCACGTGATGATTTTTCAGTTGATTAGTTCTAAGAAATATTTGTTTTACTTAGAAGAGAAGTACAGTATAGTTATCACAACAGAGAATATGCATAACATAGCCCTCTATCTAGCATTAATATTAAGAAAAAGAATGATAAAGTGCTAGAAATAGGTTTAAATATATATGACATGGTTATTAAGTAGTTGAGCACACACAAAAAGAAGGTGAAGAATACTCATGTTATTCAGATCACTACAACATGTGATACTGCTTTATAAAGATTTGTTTAGTTTTGAATCCTACGTTTCTTCTACTGCAGTATAATGAACTGAAGAACACATTTTACAAGCTAGCAAGCATTAGGCAGTTTTTATCATTCTAGTTAAGTACTTTGGATTACTACACAATTAAGCTGTAATCTTAAGATTAACAATTGTAAATAGGTTGGTTATTATGCTTTATTTTGAAGACGCTAAGACTAAGCCACTATCCTTTAAAATTATCAAGTGGTCAGAGATATACAATGGGCTATTAAAATTGAGTTAGAATTTCTTTGCACTTCTTTTTTTCACATCGATAAAGGATTTTCTGCCTGATATAAGCGTTTGCTGCAAATAACATAAAATCACCTTTCATGGTACAATATTACTTTCATTAAAACAGCTTTATGTAGTTATTGTTTACGATAATTTAGATAATTTACAATGTCTAAACATTTGAAAGTAACACTATGAAGGCAATAAGCGTTTGATTTAGTATTTCTTAGCAGTAAGATCATCCAGATTATTTTGCGAAACAAACTGCAATCCAGTTTTTGGAATAGGTAGATTTCATTACGAATTGACAAAAAACAAAAGGCCATCATTAACAACTAAATCTCCACAAAGCCGATACCCTGAATTGACTGCGCATTAGTGACTAGCTTTGTGACTGATTTATAAGGAATTATAACCTAGTTGGTTAAGATGACGTGTTTAAAATCATTGGGTCACAGGTGTGAACGCCCCACTTACCAATGTTTGCGTAGCCAGCTCATATCATTAACACTTACACTAGGCTCATCAACAGTGCTCATATAAATACGTAATTGTTGTGTTGATTCAGTTTCTCTTTTTAATCGGATTGCGTTATTTATCAATGACACTTGATGGTCACCGCGAAATTTACAGAAATCATGCCCCATTCAATTTTAACTTGGGAGCTGAATGACGATGTACTCATTCAATGCATCATGAATGCGTACTGCTAAAGAGTTGTATGTTACGCTATGTGTGCGTTTATTCATTTTTACAACATTAACAAATAAACCTGTAGTTGTGTTTATGAATCAACTCAGGTGAGAAATCATATTAGTACATGCTAAAGCAGGGTTCATACGTTATAAATCTATGTTTTCTTCAGCTCATTTTAATCATCTGAGTCAAGAAAATATTTCATGTCTCAAGCGTTCCTAATTTTGACACTCATTTTAATAAAATCTTATAATAAATGAATTTAATAAAAAAACTATGCTTTGCGTGTTTTATTTTCATATTACATCTCACTCACTGATTGGCTTTTTCAATGGTTCTTTAACTGATGTCAGCTCATGATGAAATCCTTCAACCAATCAAACAAAATCCCTAAAAAGCCCAATACTTGAAAATTAATCTGTTGCTCACTAGCGACTGGCTCTATTCAGGCAATTAACCTGGGGTTCTAGTGGGAAGCCGTGACCAGTAGGGCACAACAGGTTGAAGGTGAGACAGTAACTCATCGAAGAAGACATTGTGAAGTGGTCGCACTATGTCATGAATTGGTACACGTTAGAATTCATGGGTCGGGTCCCAGTGGCTTAATGGTCTACAAGCTAGCTCGCCTTGTAACCAGAAAGTCCCGGTTTCGAACCCCATTGGGGTGGGAACGTACTGATGAATAGTCCCAAAATAATAATTCTTAATTGAGGATACCACGAAGCACTTAATATTACTGAAAATAAAATCATGCCACCAAACACCTATGGAGAGTTTTATGAGACAATGAGTAATTTTGAGATTGCAGTCATTTTTCTTAAAATATAAAAATACTGTCAAATTGGGGAAAACTGATTTTGCCTTTAAATGTCTGACTAAGTATCTAAAACTAATTTGAATCTTTGAACTTGATTAATAAAGAAAAACTTTTCCCTGCATATTTGAGTCTACACACTATATCTTACAGGCATGACTGGTTGAGAATAATTCAAGAAATCATTAAGTTTTACTAGAAGGGTATGATTAATCATTTTCTTCACATTTTTGATTTTTCAAAACCATACTTGTGTTTTATTTTGTTTTCAAACTTTCATATAATCATTTCTTACTCTAGCATAAGTTAGTTAACAACGCTCTTGCATAAAATAGCTTTACAATAGTTGAATTTAAGCATAAGTGAACAAATAACATCAGTCCTTAAACCAATTAGATAGGTAGGCAATTGATTATAATGTTAACAACTTAAGTGTTTAAATGAGTTAACATTTCCAGTTGAAAATATTGCTCGCTAATGGGCATAACTTCGTCGTCTTTCATTTGATTGTTTTTAGGTAGATCAGCAGTAAAATACTATGCAAATTGAATTCAAAATGTATTCATATCAAAACCAGTCGCATATTTTAGAATTGATTAGCTGTGAAATGCTCTTCATGAAGATATCACTAGAACTGATCTGGTTTATTCATTGAGTTTCCTGAATTGACTTGAAAAAATGAAGTCTCCAAAATTTTTGACCAAGTTATATAGTGAAGTTAATTTATCATAACATTTAATAAGTTTTTCTAATTTCAACTTACCTGATGATTTTCCACTGTAGCAAAATTTATTTTACCGGCGAAGAAATCCAGTAGTTGTATATTTGCACAGCCATAGATTCTTTCTTGTGGGTTTTTTTGAAGAAGCTGTGATTATGAAACAATATTGAATGAAGGTTTTTGTATACAGTGATTGAGATTAACCAAAGGATATGCTAATCGAAAATATCAACCTAGTAAGACCAAAACCACCAGTGTTAATTGAAATGAGGTGAATTTTTAACGTAGAAATTTGTACAGAAGTTTAGCGAATCAGGTTGTATGGAAGAAATAATAACCTTATGGAAAAACATGAGGGCTTCATGGATCTAGGAAGGTGATGGCTTCAAATGTATAACACGTATCCTATCCATCTTAATAGTAGTAGTTTCACAACCTTATCCCCTGACTTATCCTCTTTAACCAGTACCCCAGGCCTGACCTCAGTATTATTCACCATATTATACCACTTAACATCAGAGGTAGAACGCAAACATTTGTGGTCGAGTGCAGCTAGCCACTCTAAATCTTCCACTTTCAACGATCATTCCTTACGACTGTGAAGTTAGACAGAGCAAAGTGCTACGTAGTACATATGTCGTTTGATCGATAGCCAGGTGTCATGTTTACTGTAAATGGTGCCGTAAGTTGTAAAATCCTACGCGAGCTTTTTATATCCTTGCTGAGACTTCGTTAGTGATCTGTTCATTAGGACCAACGCAACTTCCCAAGTGATCAAAAAGCTAAGCGAACTCTCTCTCTACCTTTAAAGTAAAAGTCACGATAGCCCAGTCCCACAGCATCCTCTTAAAGCTGGTAGGGTCAAATTGCATTCGAAATATGCTAAGATTTCTGCTTAAGATATTCGAAAGACTGTGTTTTTTCAGTGTCTTCATCGAGAAGTGCTATATCATCTGTCTACTGTAAGTCGATGACAACAACTCAATCCTTAAGTGTTTAAAGTCAATTACGGTCATATTTATGAGTATATCTATGATGAAACTAAACAGAGATGTGAAAATTGAGCATCCCTGATGGACATCACCAGTTGCCATCTCTTAATTAGTGTGATGTACTTTCTCGGCACCATTTTCATGGTCAGTATGTCTCGGTCGAAGTAGCCAAGTGCTTCCCTCTTGTCCGGAAATATGGCAAACTGTATGAAACTGCCAATATCAAATGGAATATTTATCATAAACCATGAGAAATGAGGCTACAGAATACACGAATATTCACAGCCAGTGATCTAAAAGGTTTTGAATGATAACCAGTTTGAGTCGGGAAGTTAGTAATCTTGTTCAACTTGACGAAAATATTTGTTATCTTATAACTGACTATGAAATTGTTTTTTGGTGGACCGATTCATTCATCAAATACTGTTGTGACTACCAAATAATATAGGAAAATTCCAAAGCCACACACCTGCTGATAATGCATCAACATTCATTTCTAAAGACAATATAAGAATTATTCATTTTAAGTTACTGTAGTATGTATGCAAATAACTGCTAATATTTGTATTTATTAAACGCCAGATATTTGACTTATTTCACTGCAAACTATATGGGTATTTTGACTGTTTTAGAAAACACTATACCTTCGGACGTCTGAAACAGATTAATTTCCATCCTGTCTTATTAAACTTTGTCAGTCTTACGATGTCATCTTCCTTCGCATATTATTGGGTTTGTCTAACACGTTGACGTTATTCTTACTCTAAGTTGAAAACAATAAATTCCCTATATAATCAGTGCTAATCTTCACTTCAACTCCCAAGAGTAGTTAGTGATGATACGGATTTCGTCCACAGATATTCAACTTTCAAGTAAATAAAATTACATGCACACTTCTAGGATATATAACGAATAAAAACTAAATTTGACCATACTGCAAACATTACAATTTAAAGTAGGGAATAAGATTTGTTCAAATGGATATTATTTCAATCCAAGTAAACCCAAAAGCAAAACATACCTTTTGGATGAATTCTTTCAAGGAATGTCCACTTTTCTCTAAATGACTTTGATGACTTATGGGGTTGGTCATCGTAGAAATGTCGTCATATAAACTGCTGGGAAATTTTCCAAACGTCATGGCAAAACAGAGAATTCCGAGTGCCCACCAGTCAACGAGGAAGTTATAGCCGTTGCCGCTAAGCGATTCTGGTGCTAAGTATAAAGTCGTGCCACAAATAGTCCATGTCCTTGAATTACTGTGTTCCCAGCGCTTAGACGCCCCGAAATCTATCAGTTTTATGTAGCCATCTGAGTTTAACATTGTGTTTTCCATCTACAAATTGTTTCAGGGATCGTTTGAAAATACCTTCAAATCTCGGTAAATAACTCGACTTTTATGAAGATAGTCTACTGTATTAAAAGTGAGAAATCTTAACTCACCCAAAGCCAAAGATATTTGCGCGGATAAAAAGCGCACTAGTGAAATTGACAGACTTTTCGCAGACTTCCAAATACTGAACAGATCTCCTCCAGGTATGAATTCGGTGGCTGCATAAGTGAAATATCAGAGTATACATAGTATTTACTTATGTACAGGTGTGTTTCGTCTTGCCAGGAATCAAGTATTTTAACGATGAACTTGTACGAAACCATCCTCTGAAAAGTTATCGTATCTTATCCGATTTACCAGAATTTCAGCTTCTTCTCTAGCTTGTCTAACAGATGATAAACCTTTCGACAATATATGAAACTTCGATGACATTTTTAGTATACATCGTTCGCTGTTGATAGTATTGCTAACCTCGAAAACTTGTCTGTACTGAGTTGATGAAAGTGTCTGCAAAACCTAGTTACAAAGATATGCAAATTGGAAGTTGCTCCTAATAGTTTTCCAAAGCTTCAAATCACAACTTTATGAATTCAAAATTGTCAATGAACATTGAAAATGATTAAACCTCTCATAACATACTTCAAAATCCATAGTTTTGGAAACATTTGACTCATAATTTTCTATGAAATATAAGCTCGATATGCTAGCAGCTTCATCCGATCTAGCATATCTGAAGCATTCTGATAAGTTCGAGTAGTCCTTATTCTGTAACTTAGTTAGGCACTACCAAAACATTTATACTGTGGGATCCTGAGAGCTGTATACATTAAATGCGGATTTATTGGCTTTAGAAGAGCTAAAGCGAGTGGCTAATGCGCCCATCGATAACACCTGTCATTGACCGAGACATTCAAAATTCTACCATGAAGTACATGCGTACAATATCCAATATCGTTTTTCGGAGCTAGTGTAAACAAATTTGATTTCTATGTGCTTGCTTCTGATTGTGAGGTAAAGGTTCCTGGCCTTCGGCAAACTTTTGCGTAACTCGTCCCGCCACTCAGTTGTCGTTGCTTAAGTTGATTACAAAAGGAGTGGTGCTTGAATTAATCATGTGTAGTTTGTTGTATGCGGTGTGTTAACACCGGTGATATCAAAAAGAGAGTAATAATAACCACCAATCCAATTAGCGTAGGTTATGTAGACTAAAAAAATATAAAGAAAGAAAGAGAACTTTAACTCACTTTTAGATTTTCCCGTCGATTGATTGGACCAAAGTCCTGGGTCTCACGTGGATATGCCGGGTTCTTGTGCAGATACTTTGACGATGTCTGCGCATCATCACTTACTGCGGAATGCAGCTGAAGAGTCTCAAATAGGGAGCATCCTGGATTCCACACCTATTCACAATCCACCAATTCATTTCAAAGAAAGAGAAACATGAATCTAATGAAATTTGAAAACGATATATATACATCAACATAATAACAGAAAAAACTAGGTGGATTAGTCAGGGCAGTAAGACAAAAGGGAATGTAGAAGAAAATTAGTGCGTTTAGGTTACCACAAAATATGGAATGTAAGATTAAAACGGGATAAGCCATTTGGACGCAGTCCTTGTGTCGTGCATGATTGTCCAGGCTTCGCCTAAAGCTGTCCATGGACGGCGCCGTAGCTACATCTGCCGTTAAGGATTTCCAGGGACGGCAAACTCCCAGTGAATAGAAATGATAGCGCGCTTGAGTCTTTGCCCTCTGGTGAGCTATCCTGCTAGGATTTCCACGAGGAAGCCCATACCTACCTAATAGCAGAACACCTTTGTTTGGATGATTCGGGTCATTTGAAATCCTATAGGCAGTAATCAAGTCCCCTCTAAGCCAACGGTAGCTAAGTGTGAAGAGGCTTAATTTCCATAACGGTTCATCATATGGTTTATTTCTGAGACCCATGAACCATTTGCTCACCCATCTTTGGACTCTTTCCAAGAGGTTTGCGTCTCTTCTAGGCAGTGGGCGTGCAGTGCTATTGTGCGCTTCAAGGTGTGATCTGATGTATGTTTTGTATAGCCTTAGAAAGAGCTCAGGGGTGAGTGCACCCAACTGTCCATGTGTAATGTGTATGACCGGATATGCCCTCGCTACATCCCCCGTGTAATTCACGCTTGTGTCCACTTTTCCCGTTAGAACTAGGCCTGGGCCACGCTCCGACGCTGTTCAGGACAAGCTTTCGTTGTAGAGGGTGTGACTAGAATTCCGCAGCTAACAGGTGGTAATTTCATGAGTTTGCACTTTTTCAGGTTGAAAGTCATACCACTGACCACCACCCAGTCTTCCAGAAGCTTTAGGTCTGCCTGCAGCCTATCTGAGTCTTTCGAATATTTTATTGCCTTCCAAATCTTCAAGTCGTCAGCGCAATGAAGAGTCGGGCAGCTTAGACTACAAGATAGGACATTGGTAAAAATCGGAAAGATCGATGGCCATAGGATAAAGCCCTGAGACACTCCTGATGACGAGCTGTGCCAAGATGTTCGGACACGATTGACTTAAGTGCAGAATTTCCTTTCATTCTGTTAGTCCTTCAACCATGACTGAGGCGACCCACCTAAACCTGCCCCACTTATTTTGTGTAGGATAAGGTCATGGTGAACTGTGTCAAACGCCTTCTCACATGGACTGGAACGTTCATATCCCAGCATGATGTCCAATCGTTCCAAGCTGATAGTAGGTTTGTTACACAGGATCTGCCTTTTCTGAAACTATGTTGTGTTTCATGGAGTCCATTAGTCCTGTCAAGGTGTTCCATGGGGCGATTATCAATAATACTTTCCAGTACTTGTGATACTACTGGGAATAGGGCTACTGGTCTATAACTATTGACATTTTGCCTGTCCCCACCCTTCGAAATCGGAGAAAGGATGGCTCTTTTCCAATCCCTTGGCAGCTTCCCCGAATCCATAGAGTATTGGAATAAGGCGCATAGGGGCCTACAGAGAGCTTCAGTGCACTGTTTCAGAACAGATTGCCTGATGTCGACACAACCTGAGAACTTCCAAGATGTGGGTCCCTGTAGCTTCCTTAGTACTACTGCCGGGTTTATTCGGGAGTAGCCACCAGATTTTGCTCCAGTGAAGTAGTAGTGCCGACATTTTGGTCCGTACTAGTAATATCCACATTGCTGTTTACTGTTGGGCTAGGGCTAATCTGAATGTTTCAGACATTTCCAGACAGGTGAGGTACTGACCGTTTGGACCTATTGAGGCGCGTACCCCCTGGTTGGTTGGTTTTCTCTCCGACATGAATCGGTAGAGGCTTTCAGGGTCCACCGGGTGTTTTTGGCGAGGTTAACCTTAAATGACCTCCTGTCGCTCCTGACTCTCGCGTTGCACCGGTTCCCAAGTTACAGGTCTGACTCTTGGATACCCGCCACCTGGACCACGCCTTCCTTTTTGCTTGCAGAGTACGTCGCGTGCCTCTCATCTGCCATGAAGACCTTTTTTGCCTGTGTTGTGACTGGAGAGGCGGTATCTGAGATTCCTCTGTGAATAGTCTTTTTTACCACTTCCAATTTTTTACCTCATCCAATTCAAAGGGCCGTTCTGCGTCTGACAAAAGCCTCCACATTTCGGCATAGTCCGCCTTGTTATAGAACAGACGTGGTCGCGTTGTGTCCCACTGTAAGTGCTCACGGAGAACAAGATCGAAACCTATGGCTTCATGGTCAACACTTCCTAGTGGATATAAGAATAGAACTTGTGCGCTATGGTATAGCATAATTCTATTATGGGTAAAATTTATTTTGATAAAGTCTCACAGTGTTATACAGTGATATTCACTGGTGACGTTTCGAGCGCAATTTATTGCTCACAATCATATTAAGGTACTCACATAACTTTCTAACTTCGTAGTTCTGTAGGTTAAAGGACCCAGTTGACCCAATTAGACAAAATAATATAACTTACAAAATAACTCGCAATGACTGTGAGGTCAACTACATAGGTCAAACTAGTAGGTCGGGGCTAGTCAGATTGTTGGCACATAAGAATTTATCTACGGTAAGAATGGTTGACCCCGAGAAGATAAGTGATTTAGAAAAAACCTCAGCGATTGCACTGCATGCATTAAGACACAACCACACAATAGGGTGGGGAAGGGTTAAAATTCTAAAAAGTAATGTAGGTAGGTGGAGAGAGAGGTTGACTTCTGAATCCTTGTTCATTGAGTCCGCACCCAACACATGCAATAGGAGCGACTCATCACTCATACCGGAAATATAGAAAATACTTCTCAATGGTGTCATGTTCTGGACATTTTCGACGAGTAGTTGGTCAGTAGTTAGAATATAATCTAGTTTCGATGACTTTCCACTAGGTCCCCACCTAGCGCCGTCTGCAACATTCCCAGTCAGTCCTGTATTTTTAATGGTTTGCAGCAGATTTCGACCGAATTTCCCCAGAGCACACCCGAGTCAAGGTTCGGTGATGGGCATTGAAATCTTCAGCGGTGGTGAATTGGTCATAGCGCAAGTCCCGTACCCCAGTGATGGTGCTAAGCAGTATCTGGTCGTGCTCTGCCCTACACGTGGGTGATCGGTAGATGTCATCCAGTAAATGCTTGGTATGGTCTACGGTGAAATGAAACCATATTGAGTCTGGGAGTTTAGTAAGTGGTGGGTCCATTGCACGTATACGCTTGAGCTGCTTGTCGAAGTACATGGAAACTCCCCTCCCTTCCTTGTTGTCTTTTATTCGCCCGACCAGAACCACATCACTTATACTGATTTCGTTGTCGGTGATGGTGGGGGTTAGCCAGGTTTAAGTAGAGATGATGTGACTGGAGGTTTCTAAGTTTGCCTACTTTCTCTCTCAGCTCTCTCACACCTCTATAAACGCAGCTGAAAGTGAGTCTCACAACCTCAGCGTGTTGTGGTGTAGTTGACGTTACGTTGTCTGCTGTTAGGGGACTTAATATTGGTACTAGTTGGCCGATTCCGATGGAACCGGCCCGTTGTCGTTTTTCCTTGGATTTGGGTAGGACACTTTGGTGATACTGACTGTCCTTCTCAGTACCGCATCGCTGTAGTGTCATTGAGGCTTAGGGACGTATCAAGGCCTCACTTTGTTGCCTCCTTCTGGTTCGGGGTCTGCTTACGCAGCATCAGATGTGTCCTACAAATTCTCCCATGGCCTCGCACCACCGTTGAAGTACTAGAGCCAACTGTTCTTGGGAGTTGAATTTGACGTTTAGCAGCCTTGGGGAGCAATCAGTGTGAGATGAGCGGGGCGAGGTAGCCGGCAAGTCTAGATGGCTCCATAAGCACCAAGGACCACCTGAGGTGACAGCCATCTCCATTGCTGTACATCATGTATGTTTTTCACAATTAGTGACTACAGAATATGGTACTTCAGTGCTTTTTCTAAGGCTGCTCTCAACCGCCATAATAATAATTACTATAACTTATGCTACAAATGAATAAACGATAGCAGCAGTGTCTATCCAACAGAGTAAGAGTAAGACTGATAAAGTATGGGATAAGGAAAAGAAAAAGTTTTCGACTTTACCTAGTACTTTTGGTTGCTAGACTTCACAGCAATCCCGCGGCAGACCAACAAGTCCTGTTTATCTAAACGAGTGAGGAAGATTCTGCTACATATG